AAGGATTAAGCTGCTGGCCTCAATGGGCATTTTATAAAGACATTAGACTACATGGGACAGCTGCTGTGACATGGGAAGTGACCCAAGCTGGGGGCACCCTGGCTTTGAGATCAAGAAATGCCCCTGCCTCGGTTTCCCCTTTCTCCCTAACCACCATCTTGCCCCTCTCTGCACCTATGTTTCCCTTTCTGTGTCCCCTCTCCTGCTCTTTGGTCTGTCTTCCTCTGTGCCCCCCCACCTCCTGAGGTTGTGCTCACCCCTCAACCACAGCCTGTCACATGTCCCTCCAAATCCCTGCTAAGTCTCCCTGTATTTTGCTGAGGCTGGCCTGGCTAAGAGGATTGGAGTGTTTGCTAAATGGGACCAGCACAGGGTCAGAGAAAGGCTTTGGGAGACTCGGGCCAGGGCAGCCACAAGAGGGCGGCAGAGGAAGTTGGAGACTGGAGACAGGGAGCATGTAGCTCAAGCATGTCAAACTCTGGGCGCGCAGCCCGCATGGAGCCCACAACAAATATTTTTGTGGCCCAGGCAATATAACAATATGTAAGAAACGTTTTACTAAAAATTCTGTAACCTATTTTTTCCAATATTCTGTTATGCATAATTATTAATAACGAAATACAACGTTCCCTAATGACTGTTTACTATAATCGTGTTGCATTCATTGCCCTTAAGCGTCTGTGCGCAGGTGCACCATTTCTCTCCACTAATACCAGCAGCGAATATGGTAGCAGCCGATGGCCACGTCATTCATCTTGGACTGACTTGTTTGGTGTGCACAACAGGAAATATTTCACTTTTGGAGAACAAGAAAAGTAGGTTTATTTGCACCGTGCTCATTAATTTGTGCAATTATTCAGTATCTGGTAAGTTAATGTCCAAGGAAAAATGTCAATTTTTATTAAAATGTTCTATTATTGTATGTTAACAATGACTCCTTTACTTCAGCCCTTTGTATTCAGCATGTCTCTACCGAAATAAACCTATGCTTTATGAAAATTGAAGCTTTGTTTTTTGTGGACCACATACACTTTAACCTTGTTTACTTGGCCCGTGATAGCCTTTGAGTTTGACATGCTTGATGTAGATGGTCAAGTTTATAGATCATGTGGATCCAAAATGCAGTGAACCTCGGTTCTCAAACATCTCAAACAACTAGGATCTGGACCCAGAAAAATGTCTTGGTTGTCACCCAAACTAAATGGCTTGGTTATGGAACCAAACTTTGGTTTTGGGGCTGACAACTCTCCCATGCTGATACCTCTGCATGACAAAAAGCGCCTCTCAGGCAACAAACAAAGGAGATAGACTACTTTTGCTGCTGGGGAAATCCACCCTTAGCACATTTTTAAAAGATAAAGAGGCCATCAAGAGTGCTGACATTGCTAAGGGTGTGAAAGTGCTCCCAACACAACCACCCCAGGCACTTGAATAGATAGAAACCTTATTGTTGATTGGAGGAAGGAAAGCCTTCAGGGCTAGTAGGGTGTGGCTCAATACATTTAAATAATCTGTTTATTCACACAAAGGTTAAACCCTTTTTATCAGTTGGCGTCTGGAACAGATGAATGCCATTTACATAATTTCTAATGGGGAGGGGGAATGCTTGGGTTTTCAAACAAATCGCTTCGCTAACGGCCTTCTAGAACTAATGAAGTTTGAGAATGGAGGTTCCACTGTACAGATTTTGTGATACAAAGCAATGTTCATTGACCTTTGACTTACTGTGTATACATGATTCTTTTTAACAATTAATTTTACAGAGAGGAAGGGAGAAAGAGAGAGAAACATAGAAACACAGGTCCCTTGCCTCCAGAATGCTGCATGATTGGGGATGAACCCAAACCTGGGTCTGTGTCCTGACTGGAACCCAACCTGCCACATTTTAGTGTCAGCGACAAGGCTCCAATCAACTGAGCCACACCTTCCGGGGTGACTTATTATTCTTTTCATTGAAAAAAAGACTTTCAATTAGGGTTGACATTCAATATCATATTACCTTCAGGTGTACAACATAATAGACATTTATATAACTTGGAAAGTGATTTCCCGGGTAAGTTTAGAGCCCACCTGGAACCATGCACAGCTATTAGTATGTTACTGAGCGCATTCCCCATGCGGTGCTTCACATCCCCATGACTATTCCATACCTGTCAACTAGTACATCTCCATCTCTTCACCTTTCACCCCAGCCACGCCAACCCCTCCCATCTGGCGACCATCCATTTGTCCTCTGTATCTGTGTTACTTTCTGCTTCCCCCCCTTCTGATTCCACACATAAGTGAAATTATATGGTATCTGTCCTTTCCTTTCCTGTTTGACTTATTTCACTTATTAGCATAATATCCTTTCTAGGTCAATCCATGTTGTTGCAAATGGTAAGATTTCATTCTCTTAGTTGTTGTTTTTGTTAATCTAAACCCAAGGATATTTTTCCATTGATTTTTAGAGAGAGAGTGGAAGGGAGGGAGGCTGGGGAAGAGAGGGAAAGAAGGGCAGAGAGAGGGGCAGAGAGAGAGATGTGAGAAAGATACATGGATTGCTTGCCTCTCGCTCCCACACCAAATGGGGTGGACAATCAAACCTGAAACCCAGGTTGTGCCCTTGATCTGAATTCAAACCCCACACCCTTCGACCTCACTGGCCAGAGCAAGATTTCCTTCTTTTTCATGGCCCAGTGATATCCCATTGTCTCTGTGTGCCATACCTTCTTTAACTATTTGCCTTTCTATTGAGCGATTAATGTAAAGTCATTATTGTTGTCCTAGCAGGTTTGGGTCAATGGATAGAACGTCGGTCTGTGGAATGAAGGGTCCAAGGTTCCATTCTGACCAAGGGCACATGCCTGGGTTGAGGGCTCGATCCCCAGTAGGGGCTATGCAGGAGGCAGCTGATCAACGATTCTCTCTCATCATTGATGTCTCTATCTCTCTCGTTCTCTCTCCCTTCCTCTCTTAAATCTATAAAGAAATATATTTAAAAAAAATAAATAAAGTCATTGTTAGCCCTAACCGGTTTGGGTCAGTAGTTATACCGTTGGCTCAGGGACTGAGGGTCCCAGGTTA